TAAGTGAATCAAAACACTGAAGTCACTAATGTTGCTTGGTAAATCCTGAAGTTTAAAAAATTTATGTAATTATGTTCAAATGATAATGGTGAGACAATTATTAGGTCACTTTCAGTTTGTGTTGTATACAGTTATATAAATCATATCATTAATTCTTTATTTTAAAAAATACAATATGACTGTTTGTTCGAAGATTTGTTTTAAAAAGAAGAGGACTTAAAGAATTAATTTTTTTTTATAGTGATGGCTTGGTTTACAGATTAATTGAGCTAATTCTTCTGTTGTGTATCTTATCTCTTGTGTTATGTAGATAAAAGTGTAGTACATGTATTATCATTAGCTATCAGTTTAATATTTAGCAGAATAGGAGGTCAAAAAGCCTGAAAAGAAATTCTTACATAAATGAAGGGAAGTACTTAAATGAAAAATCTGCAAAGTATATAAAATATACTCGAAATTGAATTGAATGTTGATTTTTGTGGGAGTTTTTAGCCCCATTTGAATGAAAAGTGCCCATAAAAGCTTTTCATTTTTGGGTCAATGTGCACATTTAAAATTATAATTATTCTTGATAGGGAAATGATCCAAAAATTTGTGTGTAAGTTACTGGTCCAGACTGACAAAAATCTTTCATATCATGTCAAAAATGGTCTTTATTACAATTTTTCATTATTTTTTATTTTCATTTAAATTCATAAAGTTTTCTTAGTTGTGTTTTTATAAGCCCATTTGGTTCTTTTATATAATGTTTTAAGTGAATTTTAGAATTTGTTAATCCCGGGATATTTGTATACAAGATTGCATATTTAGAAAATAGTGTCCCAATGAGTATAAATCTCTACGGTCATCATTTTACACTTAAGCAATTGTGAGGACTGTAACTTAAACTTTGTGTGGTATTTTATTTCCCATTGTAACTTAAACTTTGTGTGGTATTTTATTTCCCACTTAAAACAATCATGTAGTTTACAAAAGGAACCAGCAAACTAAGTGCTTTATACATGTATATACATTACTGTAATGTGGCTTTTTTTCTTGTCAGCCCAATAACTAAAGATTCCTTTGACCCACAGTCTTCATATTTGGCATGGAGGTTAGTTGTGATTAGTAGATGACCCCTATCGATTTTGAGGTCACTGGGTCAAAGGTCAAGGTCACAGGGGCCTTGACTTAAAAAAGCTAGTCCGCCCAATAACTTAAGATTCCTATGACCCACAGTCTTCATATTTGGCATGGAGGTTAGTCTTGATTAGTAGATGACCCCTATTGATTTTTAGGTCACCAGGCCAAAGGTCAAGGCCAAGGCCAAAGGGGCCTTGACTTCAAAAAGCTTGTTTACCCAATAACACAAGATTCCTTTGACCCACAGTCTTCATATTTGGCATGGAGGTAACAGACATGATTAGTAGATGACCCCTTTTGATTTTGAGGTCACCAGGTCAAAGGTCAAGGGCACAGGGGCCTTGACTTCAAAAAGCTTGTCCGCCCAATAACTTAAGGTTCCTATGACCCACAGTCTTCATATTTGGCATGGAGGTTAGTCATGATTAGTAAATGATCCGTATTTATTTAGAGGTCACTGGGTCAAAGGTCAATGTCACAGGGGCCTTGACTTCAAAAAGCTTGTCCGCCCAATAACTTAAGATTCCTATGACCTTGTCAAAATAAAGCTTTTCCCCTCAATTGCTTCAGAATGCCTGTCCAGAGTGTATTGATTTTGACATTTTCACATTTGAAGCATGAAGAATACATAACTTAGCAATGCACTGGCTAAGTAACCTCAGATTTGGCAGGGAGGTTGTCCTTGAGCTCTAAATGGCCACTGTTGATTCTGACAAAGTGGTATGCGGGGGTATTCACGCCATGATAGTGGCAGTTCTAGTTTTTGACTGTATTACCAGGCATATAGATTCAGAAATTTTACATATGTTTGAAATGATAAATACCTGCTGTCCTGCTCACTGTTTAAGATGGTCAGATAGAGGCCTTCGTCCAGGAAATAAAATTAAGTCTGCATGTTAAACAGTGGCCTCTGTGTTTTTTCTGCCTATTTAATGCCCATTTCTTCATTTTACCAAAAAATTTCAGACTTAATGATATGCTAATCTATCTTGAAAAAACAAAATCTGCATATTAAATGATGGCTTCTCGTACATGTTCTCATGCACATTTAAATATTAATGTTTCATCATTTTCCAGAACATTTGATGGTTTCAGACATGCGAGGGTGTTATAATAATTTTTATTGTCCCCAGCCTTTTCAAAGAAAAAAGGGGGATATAGAAATAGGCTCAGTCAGTCTTTCTGTCTGTCTGTCACACTTTTGTGTCCTGTCCATACCATGTCATTTATCAAAGGAATTTGAAATAACTTGGTGCAAATTTTTTTTATAATAAGACAACTAATCAGGTCAAGGTCACACTTGGTGATTGAGGTCAACATTGTCTTTTTAGGGTATATGTTGTGTCTGGTCCATAACTTTCTTATCCATGAATGAATTTTGAAAATACTTTGCACAAATGTTCACAATGATAAGACAATGTGTCAAGCTCAACAACCAATTTCTTACCTCCAAAGTCAAGGTCACAGTTTGAGATCAAAGATTTACATAGTCTGTTACAGGGTATATTTGGTGTCCGGTCCATAACTTCTTCAAAGATCAAGGGATTTTGAAATTATTTGTCACAAGTATTCACAATAATAAGATGATATGTCATGAGCAACAACCAGTTGCTACCTCCAATGTCTGGGTCACAGTTGGAGGTCAAAGAATAACATAGTCTGTTACAGGGTATATTTTGTTTCCAGTTCATAACTTTCTCATCCATCCAGGGATTTTGAAAATACTTGTCACAAATGATCAAAGTAAGGAGATGATGAGTCATTTGCAACACCCAGACACCAGTGCCTCAGAAGGTGTATAAAATAGAAAAGATAATTCATTCAAACTAATAATGTTTTTGAAGCAATGTTGACCTCCACAATTATTGAAAGTTTTCTCTTAAAACTTCACACAATATGTCATGTCTTCAAGATCATATTTATACCCCCACCACAAAATGGGGGCTATAATGGATTCGCTTTGTTGCGTCGGTCGGTCGGTCGGTCGGTCGGTCCGTCTCCATTTTCGTGTCCGCTCTATAACTCCTATACCATTTGAAGGATTTTCTTCAAACTTGGCTCAAATGTTCACCTCAGCAAGGGGATGTGCAGAACCCATGTTGCCCATGTGTCAGCTCAAGGTCAAGGTCACAATTGAAGGTCAAATATCAAACACAATCATATATTAGACAGTATGTCGTGTCCGCTCTGTAGGTCCTACAATAATTGAAAGATTTTCTTCAAACTTGGCTAAAATGTTCACCTCAACAAGGGGATGTGCAGAACTCATGTTGCCCATGTGTCATTTTAAGGTCAAGGTCACAATTGAAGGTCAAATATCAAACAATCAAATTTTACACAATATGTCGTGTCCGCTTTGTAAGTCCTACACTAATTGAAAGATTTTCTTCAAACTTGGCTCAAATGTTCATTTCAACAATGGGATGTGCAGAACCCATGTTGCCCATGTGTCAGCTCAAGGTCAAGGTCACAATTGAAGGTCAAATATCAAACAATCAAATATTACACAGTATGTTGTGTCCGCTCTGTAAGTCCTACACTTATTGAAAGATTTTTTTCAAACTTGGCTCAAATGTTCACCTAATCAAGGTTATGTGCAGAACCCATGTCACTCTTTTGCCGGCTTAAGGTCAAGGTCACATTTGAAGGTCAAAAATTGACTTAGAAAATGTCCTTTGATTTTAACATATATCTGAATATTTCTGAATCTAGGAAAGGTATTTGCTTGAAACTTAAAATATAAACGAAGTGTCACAATTAAGATATGCTGGCCAAGTTTCATAACTCTGTATTGCATTTTAACAAAGTTATGCCCCTTTTTAATCTTCAAATATACATACAATCACATATTAGACAATATGTTGTGTCCGCTCTATAAATCCTATACTAATGGAAGAATTTTCTTCAAACTTTTCTCAAATGTTCACTTAAACAAGGTTATGTGCAGAATCCATGTCACCTTTGTGCAGGCTTTAGGTCAAGGTCACACTTGAAGGTCAAAAATTGACTTAGAAAATGTTGTTAGATTAAAACATGTTCTTGAATATTTCGGAAACTAGCATAGGTTTTTGCTTGAAACTTAAAAGATATATGAGGTGTCACAATTACGATATGCAGGTCAAGTTTCATAACTCTGTATTGGATTTTGACAAAGTTATGCCCCTTTTTAAGTCTTTAAATTTACAAACAATCAATACTAGACAATATGTTGTGTCCGCTCTATAAATTCTATACTAATGGAAGGATTTTCTTCAAACTTTACTCAAATGTTCACTCCAATTGGGCGATGTGCAGAACCCATCCTACCCTTGTGCCAGCTGAAGGTCAAGGCCACACTTGAAGGTCAAAAATTGACTTATAAAAAGTTTAGTATATTGGGAAAATGAAAGGTTATTTGTAACTGTTTCAAACATGATTTGATAATAGATATTTTTACTATTACCTGTACAATTAGTCTTTTTTTCACCAGAGATAATTTTTTTTTATGTATTTGTGTCACTTAAGTTATTCCCTTAACCACCTTTCCAAGTTGTCTTCTGTCAAGGACATTGGTGGGGGTATGAATCACATTCAGCGATAGTTCTAGTTTTATATGGAAGTCACTGTCCTAGATCGATAACCCTTGACTATCAAGCACTGAGAGAAGATCAATTGTTTTGTTGTTTTAATGCTGACAGAGGTGTTGTAAATCTTTAAATACCAGATATATGTATGAGCACACTATATTGTCTATATTTGTGAATTTGTAAATTACATGTATTAGAATAGATAATAATGATATAACTTTCAGAATTATTTAGATTATCTTTGTCTTTCAAAGACTGCCACTCATTTTCTCTAAATTAAAGCTAATTATTTTAATACATGTATTTTTACAGATATACTTTGACCTGGCAATATCCAAGGATTAACAAATTATGTCAAGCCAGAGAGATGGGTGGCCAGAAAATGTTGGAATTGTTGCCATTGAGGTTTATTTCCCCGCCCAGTATGTGGATCAGAAAGAATTGGAAAAGTTTGATGGTGCTTCAACAGGAAAATATACCATTGGGCTTGGTCAGGAAAAAATGGGGTTCTGCTCTGACAATGAAGATGTAAATTCCTTATGTTTGACTGTTGTACAACGTTTAATGGAGAGAAATGGGATCTCATATTCAGATATAGGTAGACTGGAAGTAGGTACTGAGACTATATTAGATAAATCAAAGAGTGTTAAAACAGTACTAATGCAGTTGTTTGAAAGTTGTGGCAATACAAATATAGAAGGAATAGATACAACTAATGCATGTTATGGTGGTACGTCAGCTCTCTTTAATGCTGTGAACTGGATTGAGTCTAGCTACTGGGATGGTAAGTTTGTTTTTATTGGATTCAATTTAGGTTATTACTATTCCAGTTTTTAGAATAATACACCCAGATTTCCATTAGACCAAGACATAACATGTGATAAAATATACCTAATTGATGATTTATCTTGAAAATTATGAAACCTTGGCCTTACGTCTTCCCCCGAGTATATATTCAATTTGATATATTCAATTTGAAAAAAAGAAAAAAAGAAAGAAATAAAACCCCACAAATTTTAGTCTACTTGTGAGTTGAATTTTCTTGTGATTAATGGAAAAAAACACAACATTTCTTTGCTTTCTGAGGAGAATTTATAGAAAATTAACATCAAAGATGATATTCAATCTAATATAAGTACTGGTATATTAATTTTGAGACATGTTGAGACATGTTTTTATGCCACCGCAGCATCTGCGATGCGGTGGCATATAGCGATTCACCTGTGTGTGTGTGTGTTTGTGTGTGTGTTATATAGATTATATAGTGAACTTAAAAAATCTTCTTGTGAAAAACCACTAGTCCAATTTCAACCAAACTTGGCAGGATTGTTCCTTTGGTGAAGGGCTTCCAAAGTTGTTCAAAGAATTTCATTCCATGCAGAAATCTGGTTGCCATGGCAACCAAAAGGAATTATAAGAATTAATTAAAAAAATCTTCTTGTAAAGACCCAAAAGGCCTAGAGCTTAGATATTTTGCATAAGGCATTGTCTGGTAGACCTCTAACAAGATTGTTCAAATTAAAGCCCTGGGGTCAAAATTGGCCCCGCCCCGAGGGTCATTGATTTTCACAATGTACATATAGTAAAAACTTAAAATACCTTCTTGTAAAAACCCAAAAGGCCTAGAGCTTAGATATTTTGCATAAGGCATCTTCTGGTAGACCCTTACCAAGATTGTTCAAATTATAGCCCTTGGGTCAAAATCGGCCCGCCCCGGGGTCATTGATTTTCACTATATGTACATATTAAACTTAAAACACCTTCTTGTAAAGACCCAAAAGGCCTAGAGCTTATATATTTTTGCGTAAGGCATTGCCTGGTATACCTCTACCCAGATTGTTCAAATTATAGCCCTGGGGTCAAAATCAGCCCCGCCCCGGGGGTCATTGGTTTTCCTTTTATGTATATAGTAAAAACTTTTAGTAAAAACTTCAAAAACAATTCTTCTAGCAATTGACAAATGCTAGAGGTTAGATATTTTGCATGAAACATTGTGTAGTAAACCTCTAGCAAGATTGTTCAAATTATAGCCCTGGGGTCAAAATTGGCCCCGCCCCGAGGGTCATTGATTTCAATATATACATATAGTAAAAAATAAATAAATCTTATTGTCTTAAGGTACAAGGCTAAGAGCTTTAATATTTGTTAAATTATATCATCTGAAGGTACTCTACAAAAGTTATTCAAAGTTTGCCTCTTGTGTCAATATTAGCCCCGCCCCCTGGTGGCCATAGGTTTTCCGTATATGTATATAGTACAAACTTAAAAAATCATCTTCTCTAAATTTACAAAGGCTAGAGTTAAGATATTTTGCATGAAACATTGTGTAGTGAACCTCTGGCAAGATTGTTCCAATTATAGCGCTGGGGTCAATATTGGTTCCGCCCCGGGGGTCATTGATTTTCATTATGTACATAATAGTGAAAAAATAAAAAATATTTTTGTCTGAAGGTACAAGGCATAGAGCTTTGATGTATGATATATAATATTATTTATAGGTCCTCTACCAAAGTTGTTCAAAATTTTCCCCTGGTGTCAAAATTGGCCCTGTCTGGGGGCAGTGATTCTCATTATGTACACATAGTAAAAACAGAAAATAAAACAAATGTTTTCTGAATGGGAGAAAGCTATAGCTTAGATATTTGACTTGAAATGTTGTTTGGTGGACCTGTATCAAAATTGTTTTAAAATTAAACCCTTGGGTCAAAATTATGCCTTGCCCAAGGGGACAGTGACCTACTTTCTTGTCCTTTAATGTACAGCAATGACATTTTGACCATGTGCACAGTTTTAGTTGTAAAATTGAACTTTGATATCAGGTGACCTAGATTTTGATGATGTGACCTACTTTCTTGTCCTTTGGTGTACAGCTATGAAATTTGAACCATGCGGTGGCATAGCATTTTTCTCAAATGCAATCTTGTTTTGTTATCTTTGTCGGCTGTTTTTTATTTCAGGCCGGAAAGCACTGGTTGTGGCCGGGGATATAGCTGTGTATGCTTCAGGCAATGCTAGATGTACAGGTGGTGCAGGGGCTATAGCCATGCTTATAGGAGACGATGCTCCTTTAGTTTTTGAAAGAGGTAAACAAATGGTATTAATTTTTGCTATTAGATAAGTTTATTTATATGGGGTCCATCGCTTAGTGGTTAAGGTGTTTGTCACTTTATCCAGGAATCATTCATGGTTTCAAAATTCAAGCCCAACTAGGGTCTTAACCATTTCACTCATTTGACTCTCCATGAAGATTAGGCTCAAGGAGTGATTAAAATAAACTACTTATTTCCATCACAATCAAACATTCATTATATAATTTACCATCAGCAAAATCTGATGGCTATATATGAGGTCCTAACTTGTAGCAGAAGGCTGTACAAGGACTTTGACAGAAATTAATCCATAGAAAAATCTGTTTTAACACTTGTGTTAATTTATGAATGAATTATCATTTTATGATAAATATCAAAAATAAGGAATGGTAAATTTGCCAGTATTTGTTTGGTTATATTAGATTGATTTCCTGGCTTGTTTCAAACATCTGTAAAATGTGTTAAATATAGATAATAAAGGACATATAAATTCTGCCACTTTCTCGTGAAATGTTGATTTTATTTTGTTTATATATTTTGTGGACTGATACAGATAATCAATCTAACATATATGTTTACAGGTTGCCGTGCAACACATATGCAGCATGTGTACGACTTTTATAAGCCTAACATGGATTCAGAGTATCCAGTGGTAGATGGGAAGTTATCTATACAGTGCTATTTACATGCATTAGATAAATGTTATGATATTATCTCTCACAAATTAGAGTCAGCTGAAATTAAAAGTAAGCCATAAATTATAATTATTATATTTCACTATACAAATGACTTTGGTTTATATCATGTGGTATTACACCAGTCATTTGAAATTACGAGTACCCAAATACCTTTAACCACCAATCTCCCCAACCAGCTCATCAAGACTGGTATGAGATAAACTTTATAACCTGCTGGATAAATTAAATGGTAAAATTTAGGCTTAAAATTGTATAAACATCCTATACTGTATGCTTTATTGGGTGTGCATGTGGGGAATGGGGTGTACTAATGATAGATTTATCATGGTTTTTATCAATAATATGAAAACTTTTGTTTACAGCAAAGTGTACATGTGTATGAAGTATAAAATCTTCTTTGTCATAAAAGAACAATATGTACCACGTCCATTACAAAAAATATTAGTAATTTTCCTTGCAAACCTGACTTGTCAAGTTGTCATTATGATATTGTTTGTATATGTTTTCCTTAGCAACACTTCTTATTTCTGATAATGATGTGAATTCATGAATACAAAAAGAAAGAAATTTTGAATATGCAAATTTACAGCATTTTACAGTACACTGTGAATGGCAATAGATAAATGTCATTCTATACGATGTATGCTTGTAATGTAGGAAGTTATTTTAAAGTTGTCTTAAAGCTACAATACATACATGTTTTTGTACAGGATATAATAACAATGCATGTAAAATGATTACTGTAATGTATATATATGAATGTATATATGGACAAACAATACACTTGTTATAAATAACACATTTCATCATATTATCTGATGAAACTTATCGACTAATCAAGAACAATTGGCATGATTCATTTTGACAGAATATTGGTAATATAGTTGCTTGCTACAAAGTAGTGTAAGTTTAATATAGTTGCTTGCTACAAAGTAGTGTATGTTTAAACTTGAGAAAGCATGATTTGAAAATACTATATATTATAAACTAAATAAAAAATTTTATTAATAATTTGTGCATGGTTTAAGATTGTTAATTAATATCATATTTTCAAATTTGTAGAAATGACTTAAGTTTTATTGACTTAACTTCTGAGTTGATTTTTAGCTTCACTTTTCTATCTCACTATTCAGAACTGGAAAAAGTGGAGCACTCTGCTCCTGGAACAACTCTTATGCATCAGTCTTTGTTACCCCCTTCCCTATGAAATAACAGTGACTAGTGAAGGAACAGATGAACATAAAAACTTCTGTGGATTTAATGATTACCTTATCAGATAGTGGTCTAAATGTAATGAAAGTATTTGCCACTAGAGCTATGTAATCTTTCCGTCATATGACAACAGATAACAGATTATTAGGTATAAAGATTTTGGACAGGTTATATGACCCTATTTAAATAGTTGTTTGTTTATATAACTGGAGCATTTAGGCTATGGTTATATTGCAAATAACTGTTAATATAAGGCCATATAAACTGTTTGGAATCTTTATAACGAATTTATAATGCAGCAAACTTCCTTTTTTAGAGCCAAAAAAGAGATTTTCTGCAAAAAATGAAGACAGCAGGGCATAAACAACCTACATGTATATAAACATCACAGTAATCCAATGAAAAGCGATGTTTAAATGTGCGGTATTTTTAAGTATTTTGCAATAAGTTAAACATAGTGAATCAATTTAATACATGATAACTCAACTTATACTCATGTATGAGAAACGACAACACATCACTCATCTCAAAATAAGGATAACACAAAAAGATAACTAAAACTAAACTAAAAGAGAGTAGTTAATCTCACAGTACACAGCCATTATATTCAAATGATTTTGCATTTTAACCTGTAACTTTAGGTGAAATATAGCACCCATGTTCACTTGACCTGTTCATATATGTATGGATAGAATCTGAGGAAATGATTCAGCTTTGACATCTAAAAAATGTACTTGTGCTCAACAAAAATATTTAGAACAAAGAAATATTGTTGCAATATACAATTGTATTGTAAACTTGTATTTCATTAAGATAGGAATCAAATCAGAGCTGGTGCTTGTATATTTGAATAAACAATACTTAAACTTTAAAATGTAAATTGTTAAAATGTAGAATTACTTTAACTCCCTTTTGATATAATTCACCTAGAAAAATATGCCAACTATTAAGACAGAACTTTTCTAAAATAGAATCTTGACTTAAATTTTATTGCTAATGTAAGAATAAAATAATTATAGGATTTAGTTAATTTTTTTCTGAAATAAATTGTCTCCCTTGATCTTATAAAAGAAAATTAAATTACTTTTGGCTAAAAAATTCTTTGTATTTATTTTACTCCCTAGTGAGTTCAAAGGATTTCATTTGCAGAGTCCATGGTGCTAACAAAACTCAGCCTTTTATATGTGACATACTAACAGTTTGCTAACAATTTCGAAACTTTTCAGTTGCTACAAAATACTTACAAGAAGGCACTGGAAGGGTTGCTAAGAGTGCTAAAACTTTTAACAGATAATAAATACCAGTTAAAAAATCATACAATTCACCGTCAATTAATCTGACATACGAGGTTTATTCAAAAAGTTTTGTTACCAATGGTCTTCCGTAGCGAAATCGACGGTTTTGCTTCAATAAACCTATACATTTATGTACATAAATATTCACACTATATAAGCACGAAAAACACGTGCAAATCGATGCAATAATGACAAAATTATTCAGTTTTGAAGTAGTGTCACTCATATACACTGGCCATATTTTGGAAATAACAATGAAACGACATTACAAAGTTGAAGTACGCACTTATATTAAAAGTCGCACTGCTTTGCATATATCTCCAAAAGACATTTATAATGAGCTGAATGGTATTTATGGACATTCTGTGGTATCATTTATGACAGTTTGTAGGTGGGCGAAAAAATTTAAAGGTGGGCTTTCTGTGATTAAAGATGGTCATCGAAGTGGACGTCCGAAGTCGTCAGTGACTGATAAGCATGTGGCTGCTGTGAAAGCATTGGTGGAAGAAGATGGCCGTTATACAGTAAAGGATATGGCTAATAGTGTTGGCATTTCAGAAGGAAGTGTTCATGAAATTCTATCAAAAAAACTTGGACTTAAAAAGGTTTGTGCACGTTGGGTGCCCCATTTACTGACCAATGACCAGAAAAAAATGAGAGTCATGTGTTCTAAAAAACTCCTTAAAGAGTTCAAAACATTTAACAGCAGGATTATTTCTAACATGTTAACTGGAGATGAGACTTGGGTCTACATGTTTGAGCCACAAAGGAGGGGTGATAATAAACAATGGAGAGGAAAAAATCAAAAACGTCCAGTAGTGGCTAAACGGCAGAAAAGCTCAAAGAAAGTTCTGTACACCATTTTTTTCAATCATCTTGGTCCAGTTATTCAGATACCATCACAATCTGGAAAATCAATCACTGGAACATATTATAAGAACGTTGTGCTAAAAAGGATAAAAAAGTTTTATAAAAAGAAACGTCCAAGTACTGGATTAAGGGGAGTTAATTTACTACATGATAATGCCCCCGCGCATAAAAGCAAGGGGGTTGTTAACTTTCTCGCTGAAGAAAAGGTAAATGTGTTAAGCCACCCCCCTTATTCGCCGGATTTAAGTCCATGTGACTTTTTTTTATTTCCCCGGCTAAAAAAGATGTTGTCTGGACGTCGGTATACCACCAGAAGCGGACTTGGAAGTGCTGTATATCAGTGTTTGAGACTGATACCAAGGGCAGACTACTCTGATGCATTTAGACAGTGGAAATTTCGATTACAAAAGTGTATTTCTGTAGGTGGTGAATATTTTGAAGGGATGAAATAAACCATTTTCGTATATATTTTCTTTATCTTGTATTTAATACCCGATAACAGAACTTTTTGAAGAACCCTCGTATCTAATGAATAAATCATTAGAATACATAATAACAAGGTAATTGGTAAATATGATGCAAACTTTAATAAAAAATTATTATCTTTGTATGCAGAACTTAATGTCCTGGAGTACCCTCCCTTGATAAATCAAAATAATTATGATGCTGTAATTAAATGATGTCATCATATGGTGCATAACCAACATGGCTGACAATAAACACTTCCGGGTTTTAGGAAATGGTAGAATTACCGATATTAGCATAAGGGTAAGCTATAAAAAATAATGTACATTGACATACAATCAGTAAAATTTAACATTTTTATATTGTATCAACTGTATTTGAGCAGGAAATAAGTATACATAGGCTAATTAAAGCGTAAATAAGCTCAGTTAAAAATGCAGCACATCACATTATATCAATATCATTACTTTGTATGTTGTTTCATTGCAATATTTTATCATATTCTTTCATGAATTTTTTTTTCCCAGATTTTCTATATTTAACTTTCTTATACTTTCAGCCGGATCAAGTCTGTTAGATTGTGCAGATGCCTTTGTCTTTCATTCACCATTTTGTAAACTTGTCCAAAAGTCTGTAGCTAGAATTATGTTCAATGATTTTCTTCAAGACCCTCATCCAGAACAAAGACAAATCTTTACTGGTTTAGATGCATTTAGGTTAGTTAATATACGTGTATTTTTATAGCTGAGGGTGTTAGAACGTCCTGGCTGATATAATTGATTCATATTAAAAAGGATGATCACAGTGTCTATTCTTGGATTTGAAAAACAAGGGGAATTTTAATAAAATAGTGAGAATTTATTACATTTGTTGATTTTTTTCCTTCTTTTTCTATGTAAAATTCCCCCCCTGCCTCTGAAAAAATAGGGGAAAATTCTCAAAAATATGAGTGAATCCCCCCCACCCCCCCTCCTAGAATAGACACTGTGTATATCTGCATTGGAGATGAATATATATTATGGTGATATGATGAAATAAAGTTTCATGTAATAAATGTTTAATTGATGTTGAACTATTTATGTGTGTCCTGACAATTTGCTTGAATGACATTATTAAAATGTATAGACTACCGGTCCATTGTGAGAGAATTTGGTAATTACTCGGTAGTTTTCCAGGAAAGCTGATTCGGTTGATCACCCTCCAGGATAGATCCAAAAATGCTTTAAAATCTATATAAAAACCAGAAACACAAATAAACAGATTTCAGTATCAATACATGTAATAATGTGAAGACAACAGTTGAACACACAAACTAGCCAGTATAAGTTTATAAATCAAATATTTTGTTCTACTTATACCTTTCCATACATGTTTTAATACATACATCGTAACATGTAATAGATAAAGATATATTCATTATTGAATTTCATCTTTTTAAGGTATATAACATAAACTGTAACAAATGTTTGATTTACATGATTATGACCTGTCTAAATTAAAAATACTTTTCAGAGAACTTAACTTAGAAGACACATATTTCAACAAACAGGTAGAAACTGCCTTTATGACTGTTAGTAGAACAGAATTTATCAAGAAGACAGAACCATCACTATTACTTGCCAAGCAGATAGGAAATATGTATACTCCTTCAGTATATGGAGGTCTTGTTTCTTTCTTAATCAGGTAATTAGGGGTTGTTTTCTTATGAGAAATATTTTCATTTGCATGAATAAGACCATCCTTATGGTTAACATGATATAAATCTAGACTGTTTATATATTTCAGACTTAATATTTCAGAGTTTTTAGCTTTTTAATATTGACCAGAACTACTAACTCAAAATTACTCAACCTTCAGATATCTCATAGCTCAAATCTACTGAACTTGACCATTACTACAAGCTCAAAACTACTGACCTTTCAGATATCTTATTGATCATTAATACAAGTTTAAATCACTGAACTTTAAGTTTTTTTAGCTTGACTATTCGCAGAATAATTGAGCTAATGCAGTCACCCATTTGTCGGCGTCTGCGTCGACGTCCCTGTGGTTAAGTTTTTATATGTAAGCTGGTATCTCCATAACTACTGAAGGGAATGGATTGAAACTTCACACACTTGTTCTCTGTGATTATCTAAGATGATTGGCACAAGTCCCATAACTCTGATTGCTTTTTTACATAATCATGCCCCTTTTTATACGCCCGTTTGAAAAACGGGACGTATTATGGGAAAGCCCCTGGCGGGCGGGCGGTCGGGGGGAGGGTGGGGGGGCGGCGTCCAATTTTGTCCGGAGCATATCTCCTACATGTATGGAGGGATTTTAATGAAACTTCATAGAAATGTTCACCACTATGAGGAGCAGTGTCGCGCACATGAACCAGGTCTCTAGGTCAAAGGTCAAGGTCACACTTAGAGGTCATTGAAAAATGCTTGTCCGGAGCAAAATTCCACATGTATAGAGGGATTTCAATATTACTTGGCACAAATGTTCACCATTGTGAGGCGGAGTGTCTTATGCAAGATTCAGGTCCTTGCTGCCAAGGTCAAGGTCACACATAGAGGTCAAAGTTCAGATACAAATATGAAGATGTGTATATGGACCATTTAGTCATGATTTATTGAGGGATTGTAACACAAATTGTCATTACCAAGACTATGGCTGTGATACATATAATTTAGGTCAATATATACAAGGTCAAGGTCACTAAAGATGATGAAATATCCAGATTTTGTAAATAGAATTTAATCAAAGGGCGACAACAAAGTTATTACTTTGTTCATAAATGACTTACACAATTACTCCCCTTGATCTACTTTCACTTTCAATTCTAAAAATAGAATTTAATCAAAGGGCATAAAATAATCCTCTTTCTTGGACTTGAGTATGTTCTAAAGAATGTAACATTTATTTACACATGTTTCATTCATTGGTCAAGATTCTTAACTGTGATAACTATGGTGGTTCTGTAGACTTGGTATATTTGTTCATTTAAAGAATCATACAGTAATTACCATTATAAATGTAAATACTTTCTCATAAAGAATTTAATTAATAATTTAATTTTCAAGTTAGAATATCAGTTGCAGCTCTTCTCCTACATGTATGGGAAGGACTTTTAATGAAATTTCATAGAAATGTTCACCATTATTGAGAAGCAATGTCACAGCACATGGAACTAGGTCTCTTGTCACGCACATGAACTTAGGTTCTCTAGGTCAGAGGTTCAAGGTCACACTTAGAGCTCATTGAAAAAATTGCATGTCCGGAGCAAAACTTTCCACATGCAATAGAGGGATTTCAATATAATTGGCACAAATGTTCACATTGTTAGGCGGAGTGTCCGCGCACAAAATTCAGGTCCTTGCAAGCCAAGGTCAAGGTCAAACACATAGAGGTCAAAGTTTAGATAAAAAATGAAGATGTGTATAGGGACTATTTAATCATCATTTATTGAGGGATTGTAACACAAATGGTCATTATCATGACTACGGCTGTGACTCATGTACTTTAGGTCAATATATGCAAGGTCAAGGTCACTAAAGATGGTGAAATATCCAGATTTTGTCTGGAGCATATCTCCTACATGTATGGAAATTTTTTTATAATACTTTATGGAAATGTTCACCACCATGATATGTATTGCTCCATGCATGATCCAGGTCTCCAGGTCAAAGGTCAAGATCACACTTAGAGCTCATTGAAAAACGCTTGTCCGGAGCAAAACTTCTACATTCATAGGGGGATTTCAATATAACTTGGCACAAATGTTCACCATTGTGAGGCTGAGTGTCGCAACGCAAAATTCAGATCCCTGCGACCAAAGTCAATGTTCACAACCATAGAGGTCAAAGGTTCAGATAGAAAATTTGAAGATGTGTATAGGGACCATTTAGTCATTCATTTATTGATGGATTGTAGCAAAAATGGTAACTATCATGAACTACAGGTGTGACAACTTTAATTTAGGTTAATATTTGCAAGGTCAAGGTTCACTGGAGATGAAATTAAAATAATCCAGAATGTTGTCCGGAGCATTATTTTCTAACATGCATGGAGGAATTTTAATGTTACTTTATAGAATTGTTCAACACCATGGTAGACGTAGTGCCCTGAACATGAACCAAGTCTCTAGGTCAAAGGTGAAGGTCACAGTTAAGAGCTTCATAGAAAAAACGCTTGTCTTGGAGCAAAACTTATACATGCATAGAGGGATTTAATATAATTTGGCACAAATGTTCAATTCATTGTGAGGCTGAGTGCCGTGCATAAAATTCAGGTCCCTGCGACCAAGGGTCAGGGTCACACATCCTGTGCATATATTTCCCTACTGATTTGTTTTAAGGTTCATTTAACAACAACAGTGCCAAGAATAAAAAACTTGCTTGCTAGATAACACTTATCCATAATTCCCCCCATCTCCATTCTAAAGCTTTCGTAAACGGGCGTATTTTGTGACTATGGCACCCTTGTTTGGAACTTAGAAATTCTTGTGTTGAAGTTTGTGTATGTAAGCTGGTATCTCCATAACTACTGAAGAGAATGGATTGAAACTTCACACACTTGTTCTCTGTGATTATCTAAGATGATTGACACAAGTCCCATAACTTTGCTTTGCTTTTTTACATTAATATGCCCCCTTTCGACTTAGAAATTCTTGGGGTTAAAATTTTTTTCGTGTAAGCTTTGGGATCCTTTCCAAAACTAGAAAAGGGAAAGGGTTTAAATTTAAAAACACTTTTTTCTTTGATTTTTAAGATGATTGACACAAGTCCCCATAACCCTGGGTTTGCTTTTTTAAATTTAAATTTTGCCCCTTTTTTTGACTTAAAAAAATTTTTGGTTTTAAATTTTTTTGGGGTGTAAGCTGGGTTTTTCCCTAATACTGAAAAGGGGGGGATTTAAATTTTCACTCTTGTTTTTCTGTGTTAACCCAAAAAATTGGCACAAGTTTCCCTAAAATTTTGGTTTACTTTTTTTTATAATTTTTGCCCTTTTTTTGATTAAAAAAATTTTTGGGTTTAAATTTTTTTTGTTTTAAACTTTTTAAATTCCATACTCTGAAGGGGAAGTCCTTTAAACTTGAAAGGGTTTTTACCCTTTTTGGACAATTTTTTGTTTATAGGTAAGCATTTTTACTCAAAGAAACCCCTTGTGACAAATTTTGAAAACGACTTATGTCCCCGAAGTTTTGTTTATTTTCAATTTCCCAAACTAGAATAATTTTTAGCATACCCTAGAAGTTAAGGTTTTGCCCCTTTGCTGCATTTGCAACAAATGGTGTTTTTTCATTTTCCGTCCAAAAGTAGATTTTTTGCAAATTTAATTTAAATTGAAAAAAAATTGTTTTTACAGTTTAATTTTTAAAAATTAAATTTTAAATTTATTTATATCTGAAAAAATCCGTTTTTATCATGAATGTAAAGTGTTTTTTTAATTTTTTTCAGTCGACCATGGGAAAATCTAGCAGATTGTAGAAATTTTTTTTTTCATATGGGCGGGTTTGCTTCGTCTATGTATTCACTGCGGGTCACTAAAGCTTTTTTCCCCAGTTCAGTCTTCCAAATTTTGGGTTAAAAAATCTTGTGAGTGAAAATGAGGGTGGACAGAAGAAAAAAAATTTCACGAAATATTTGATAAAATTTATGAAACTAAGGGGGGACAAACAAAAAAAAAGGTAATATTTATAAGAGGTTCTTTTCTTTTTTTCTTAGAGAGTTTACTTCAAAAAAAAAAATTGTTCAATCTTAAAAAAAGATAAAAAAAAAATATTATCAAAAACAAAACGCGCAGGAGTGTAAAAAAACATTTAAAAAAAATATTAACTAGGAAAAACACTTTTATACCGTATTTTTCGCTATATATAAACATAGCGTTTAAAACGCGCTAATGTTTGCGAAAATATAGAACGCGCTTGAAAAAATTACAAATTTTTAAAGTTTACTGTTCTTATTTATAATGTGATAAAAAAAATTTTTTTGTTGATTTCAAACTAAAAATTTTTGAACTCGTTTTA